AAGAAGTTGCACATAAGCGACCAGAAACCAGTTCAAATCTGTAACACAACAGAAGTTCAGCGCACGTAACCTGCTTTTCAAAATGGCCAAAACCAGTTTAAGATAAACCTGGGAGGAGGTAGTATCAGACTTAACTGATTTAAGGGAAATCAGTTTATTGAATTTCTGTCCTTCAAGTTAACTCACGGTCCCCCAGCATCCCAGGATGCTTTGCACCTCCCCCCTCCCCCAAGTCCCCCTGACCTCGCAGGGTGGGCAGGCTAGCCTTGGCCCAAGCTGTCTGCTCTACAGCCCAGCAGGGAGGCGTGCTCTAGCACTCCCCGGCTTCAGGCCTGAGTCACTGCAGGCATGTGGTTGCACTTCCGGAATAAAAGTGAATGTCTGTTCGCTTACTTATCGGTTCAGTTTATGCAGCTTAGACTAACCTGCAAAGATTGAATCAACTGAGCCTGGGGCATTTTGACCGTCTGTACTTAGCCCACGTAGAGACTCCAAGGTGCCTAAATGCAATCTTGTTCCACCCTGCTCAAGTTCCTGAAAAACAACTACTACAAAAGTCACCCTCCGGCTTTTATGTCGCAGCGTTAAGGCTAAGGTGACAGTATGTTACAGAAGTACTGGTGGCAGCGTTCGTGTTTTTTCAGGGACTTGAGTGATGCTTGATAGGTGGAAAAGGAACCAGCCCTCCAAATGCAACTCACTGCATTTGCAACAGGTACGACTGTACTCTGTCATGGAAGTGAAGCCAGCTGCCTTACCTCTCGTGCACACTAAAACCATCCACACAGGGAGTTAGTGCAGAGTAGTTCCTACTGTAAATTCCTACTGTAGCTTACCGCCTGTAACTTTTCCAGGTGAGCAATCCCCAAGCTGACATGAGCAGTCCAGGAAAGCAGAGATTTGGTTTTTAATTGCCCTTCACTGAAAATGAAAGGCCCATATTTAAAAGAGGGCCTGTTTGAATTTAGTGGCTCTACCAATTCAGAAACAGGAAGAAAAATTTCCCCTTCCAGCACAGGTGGGAAAAGATCAATTGGAGAAGGAGTGAGAAAGCAACGTATTTCTAATGGAAAAATACTACGGGAAAACACTTGCCCCAGGAAATCTGTGCAGGAGTTATTTTAAGCCCTGAGCTACCCAATGTACAATGCCTACCAGAGACAGATTCTTCCCTGCCAGGGTCTCTATTCTTGGCTGAGCTGCTCAGAATAAACAGCCCCTTGCTTTCACCAACATTTCAAGAGTAGCCTACCAGTCAGCACTTCGTGATGTGCAGCCTCTAACCCTGATTACTGTTCAGCCAAACACAGACATGCCAGACCCCTCGCCCAATTTGGTAAATTCATAGTGATGATCCATGCAGCTGATAATCAAGATGTCATAACTGAGGAGCAACGGACTAATGAGGACTTTGTCACAAGCATGCTGCAATGCGGGCACCAGTTTTTTGATTCTCAATCAGTGTGGGGGAAACCACTCATTAGGAGGACTTTGCTGCAATCACTAAGGGATCTATTCATGCTAAATGCTGTCCACACTTATGGAAGGTGGTGGAGCAGATTCAAATGCTCTGCTTACATTTAAATAAATTTCGGCTTGGCTCTGGAAACTTGTTTCCGTCTGTTTTGTGGATTCTTGAAATGATGCAAAGAGACAAAAGGGCTAGAGGGCTCATTATAGTCAGTTCCCTTATAAAACTCCCAAGATCTAAACTAATCAAAAGACTGCCCTGATGCAGCCAGAGAATGCATTGTGTTTTTAAACCGATCCAGGCCTGACATGTACTAAGTTTTGTGTCTTTTGCTTTTTACATGGCCTGAGTGAACCAGGGAGGCAGAGTGGGGTTTAAATAACCCTTTGACTTGAACACACGCAACATGTCAGGCCTAAGGGCATATCTCCGCTGCAACTCAAACAGACCTCTGGCAGCTCCTGGACCACGGAGAACACCGAGGACCACTAGAGGGCTTGCAAACTAACTCAAGGAGGAGTACGCAAGTCCTACCTAGTGCAGTGACAAAGGTACATCTTTCACCAGAGAGAAATGAACTCAAGAGGAACGCCTAATCTACCTACTTCACACTAACCCTTTCCTTCTTCATTTGGACTTGGTGCCAATCCTTACTGGGAGTAAATGGGCCTTGATAGCCATTTGGACTAGCTGAGAAACTGGCTGGACTTGAATACCCTATTTCTCACATACAACACGCAACTTTTCCCCCCAAAAAGCAGCCCTCCAAAATTTGGGTGCACAAATTAAGTAGAGAAGCTGATTTTCTGTCCAGGGTAGAAGCACCCTGCTTTAATTTCTGCCCCACATTGCAATAGCTGTGGCATTAATATTCAGATAGCTGACGAAGTGGATTGACTTAATTGCTCATTGTTCTTCACTTCAGAGGTGAAAATGATTGCCTCTCTTTTTTTAATGGTTTTGATGTTTTACTCATCAAGATACAGTTTTCTTAGGGCAATTCTGGTGGATGCTCCTGGCCTCTGACCTCCTATTTCAGAGACCTGAAGAGACGCTTTAGCCTTTTTTAAAATCATAGCTCCATCCATGGAGATCGGTCTTCAGGAGCAGCTAGGGTTTCAGCTTTCATTAAGCAGGAAAGGGAGGGCAAGAAGATTATGGCTGAAGATTAGGCTCGGTCCCTGCTCTATGCACCCGTAACTCTGTAAACTCTTTTTTACTTGATTCTGCCTTTCAAAAAGATGCATATTATATTCTGGGGTGTGCTATATGTACGGAAATTGGTTAGCTAGTTAAACTCAGCTCTTTGAGTTATATGGGTCAGGTCGTCTTGGAGCAGGTGCATAAAAAAACCCCTTTAACACTTGTGATGTCAAGTCTTTTGTTAAAAGAAAGCGTTGCCCCAGGTATCAAGGGCTGGCAGCAGGGGGAAAAAAGTTTGCCTAAATTAAGAGCAGATCCATCCCAATCACAAACCAGTGACCCAAACAAACACAGTTGTCAAGAAAATCACTGCTGCAGTTGCAAAATGCTCCTGAAAAACAAATGACTGCTCAAAAGATGGCAACTTTTCCAACGGGGGAAATTAATGCGTGGACTTGAGTGGACTTTGGATTCATTTGAGTGCTAAACAGTCTTCAGTTTTCTGCAATATTTTTGTCCCCAATTGTCCATTCACATTAGCCAGTTCTAAGCATAACCATTGCCAGACAACAGTGCAGGCCTTGCCAAACTCCTCTCGAGATTAGGGCTACAGCGGCAAAGACGACAGAGCCATTTGATCCTTAGATATGGTCAAACGTGACTCAACAGGAAGAATCACAATAAATTCAATTCTTCAAGACTTTTTTGCATAT